CGTCCGCCGCTAGTCTGGACGTTCCCCCTGTCGACATCAAAGCCCTTTGTCGGCAGCCCCGGTAAACCTCATTCCACATGCTGACAAAGGGCTTTGATGTCGACAGGGGGAACGTCCAGACTAGCGGCGAGCCGACAAACAGCTGATCAGCTGTTTGTCGGCTCAGCGCGGCAGCCATGTAAATGTAAATGAAGCCGCGATGTCCGCCGCTAGTCTGGACGTTCCCCCTGTCGACATCAAAGCCCTTTGTCGGCAGCCCCGGTAAACCTCATTCCACATGCTGACAAAGGGCTTTGATGTCGACAGGGGGAACGTCCAGACTAGCGGCGAGCCGACAAACAGCTGATCAGCTGTTTGTCGGCTCAGCGCGGCAGCCATGTAAATGTAAATGAAGCCGCGATCATTTAAATCGCGGCTTCATTTACCTTTGCCTACAACCCTAATCTACATGCCTCTGCCGACAGAGGCATGTAGTGTAGACACAGCCTTAGTTTCCTTCCCCAGACTGTGATTAGAAGCAGACTTCCCCCACTCAGCCTCCGGGAAGCATGCGCTGGCCATTAGCGAACGGCTGAGTTGCTCCCTCTTCCAGCTCGTCCTGCCTCGTTCACTCCGAGCCGCAAAATTTTCCCCAGCCACAGGTGTTAGAGGGTAGCTGTAGGTTTTAGTCTGTTTGGGAAAGGCCTGCAGCTGGAGGGGCATTGGCTGAGCTGGGAGTATGTGGGGATAGTGGGGTGTTGGTGGATCTTCACCAAGTACGGACCAGGCCCCATATGAAGAGAGATTAAAAAGACTTGGACTTTTCAGTTTAGAAAAGAGGAAACTAAGGGGAGGGGGGATTAGAAGGGCAACAAAAATGTGATTAGGGATTTGGAACTGGTCCGATATGAAGAGAGATTAAAGAGACTTGGACTTTTCATCTTAGAAGAGAGGAAACTAAGGGGGGATAGGAGAGAGGTCTATACAATCATGACTGGTGTGGAAACAGTGAATAAGGAAAAGTTATTTACCTGTCCCCATAATGAGCTAGGGATCACCAAATGAAATGAATATGGAGCAGGTTGCAAACAAACAAAAGGAAGTTTTTCTTCATCCAGTGCACAGTCAACCTGTGGAACTCCTCGCCAGAGGATATGGTAAAGCCCAGGACTTGATGGGAGTCCAAAAAAGAATTCGATAACTGTATGGAGGTTTGGTCCATCGATGCTTATTAGCCAGGCTGGGTAGGAATGGGTGATGGGGCGGATCACGATGCCCTGTTCTGTTCACTCCTCCTGGGGTACCTGGCATGGGCCGCTGTCAGCAGACAGGACACTGGGCTAGATGGACTTTGGTCTGAGCCAGTGTGGCCGTTCGTACGTATACACAGGCCAGGGCCGCGAGCAGAGCTGTGTTACCCGCCCGGGTTGTTACAGCCGGGGCTGTTGGGTCAGGACGCAGAGCTGTGGGGGAAGGGAAGTTAGTCGTGTCTCCCACACCCTTGTGCTCGACTTGTGTTTCACTGGGGCGCCGAGTCTCTCCCCCGCCTGGTCGCCGGTGCTAGCGTGCGCCGCTCGTGCACAGAGCCTGCGTGTCGGCTAACGCCAGGCCCCCGGTGAGGACTCGGCCAGACCTTCCCCAGCGCCGAGCCGCCCTGACTGTCTCCGCCTCTCCCCCGCAGCACGGCCTCTTTGCCTCCACGCTCGCTGAACTCACGGAGGAGCTGGGCCGGCTACGCCAGCGGCTGGGCGACTAGCACACCCCCGGGGCGACTCATCGCGGCGACAGACCGGGGCGCTGGTGGACGTGCAGACCCTCCCTTCACTGTCCTGCTGCAGCATCATGCGGAGCTGGGAGGGAACCCCGGGCAGAACGAGATCTGTCCGCCGGGCCAGCGGATGGGCAGCCTGGGACTGGTGCGAACAGCTTCAACGGGACCCTGCTGTCTCCCCTGATACTGAAGCTGCCTCTTCTTCTGCAGCAGCAAGAGAGGGAACCGGGCAGCCCCGTTCACCTCCCGGGCTTGCACCCAGCGTGCTGGATGCTCAGCTCGCTCCCAAGGGCTACCTGTCGCACTGCTCCCGGGCCCAGAGCCCCCACGCAGCCTGCTCATGCTGGGTGTTTGGCCGGGGTGCGGCTCAGCTCTGGGTGGGAACCCAACGATCCAGCGTGCTGCTCGGCAAAGCCAATCACGTCGGGTTTTGCTACGGCCGGGCGGGGGGCGGGCACGTTTGTCTCCAGCCGTAAGGAGGGGGCGGACGTGCCGGGCCGTGGGTGTGCACTGCTGCGCATTTGGAGTCGCGTCTCTGCTCTCTGATCTTCCGCGCCCCTTCACCCGCCTTGCTTCCCTGATGCAACACCGTCCAGTGGTCCTGGCTCCTCTATGCTCTTTCAGCCAAATACTGATGCGGCGGGGACCCCTCCCACCCCCGGAAGCAGATCCTGCCATGTCAGAGGGGCAGCATGTGGGTCGGAGAGGTTCAAGAGACCACTCTCCATGCTCCCGCCCCATCCTCTGGATTATTGCTGGCCTCCCATCTCCAGTCATGCAGTTGCAGCTCTGCAAAGCTATAAACACCCTGCCTGGCTTTTCCAAGCCACCCTTTTAAATGAGGGGGAAAAAACTGGATCTCTTTCAGAAGGGGGGAGGGAAAAGGGGGAGCAGGGGGACCGGAGAGGTTCAAGAGACCACTCTCCATGCTCCCGCCCCATCCTCTGGATTATTGCTGGCCTCCCATCTCCAGTCATGCAGTTGCAGCTCTGCAAAGCTATAAACACCCTGCCTGGCTTTTCCAAGCCACCCTTTTAAATGAGGGGGAAAAAACTGGATCTCTTTCAGAAGGGGGGAGGGAAAAGGGGGAGCAGGGGGACCCCCTCCTCAGTGGGTTGCTGGGAGCAGCCAGGGTCCCCCAGCACGAGCTCCTTTCTCCGGGCCGGTCTGTAGTGCTCTCTGACGCTCCGAGCCGACGGGGGAGAGCCGTCCCGTCGGCTTAGCAAGGCCGTTTCCACGGGAGGTGATGGCCGTGCCGCAGGGAGAGGCTCTCCTGCCAGCACAGCGCTGTCTGCCCGGCGGGGTAAGGGCCAGTCCGTCGGCTGCACGTGGAATGGGGCTGGTCTTTGGCGTGGCGAGGCACGTCCCAGCGATGGGGGCGTTCCGTGCACGTGTTTTCTAAGCCTGGGCCTTCCGGTCTCCACTGGAGAGCCCCTGGAGAACGAGAGCGGGGGGGATCTGGAGCCAGGCCCCTCTCCACCAGTCCTCCAGGCAGCGGGGAAGTTGCGGGTGCACGGGCCGGCGGGCGGTAGTTGCACTTCGCTTGTGAACAAGCATTTCCCAAGTGTGGTCCCAGGAGCTTCTGTCCTGCCCCGAGCGAAGGCAAATTTCCTCTCGGCCCTTTGGGCCAAACCACTCCGCGTCTCCCAGTTTGACACAAGCTGAGGGAGTGATGGGTGGAGGGGAGGGAACCTTTAATAGCTGCCATCCTGGCAGACCGAGGTATGGTTGTCCCCCTAAATTGTTACCACCCACTGGCTGCAACTGACCCATCCTTCCCTCAGAGACAAACGCCCGTTACATGAGCATCCGGCTGCCCCAGCTACCATCACCTTTCCTGCTTCGTGGCTCCCCTCTTGGTTGGTGCAGTGAAGGATGAACAGGTCTGGGAGACTGAATTTCATTTCCACCTTTCCCCGTGCTCCTTCTAGCCCAGGGCTGAGACGCTGTGGATGTTTTGGGGGTGTGGAGCAGCTTGCTTGGGTTGCACCCATCTTGGAGACCTTCAGTGTCCATAGCTATCCCGCTAGCATCTCTCTTGAGCTTGGTGGGGAGCGAAAGCTAAAGGCCGGCCGGCCCCGTCCCAGGCTGCTGCTGGCCTTAAACTGGGGCTGCCGTTCCCTTTGTACGTTAAATCTGCATCGCAACTTTAATGCTGCGCCTTTCAGGGACCCGCGCTTGCAAGCGGAACTCCAGGCCTGAATCACAGCTCTGTCATCCGCTACGCCTTCCATATACTGCAGCCTTCTTGAGGGGAGGAGGGGGAAAGCAGGATTCAGAACCCAATCGTCTCCCTCCCCAGGCTGCAGAAGTCGTATCCAATTAGTCAATTTCACCAGCTGGGCACAAGTATTAGCATCAATCGGAGACTTTTCCCCTGGCTCCAGCAGGCATTGCATTCAGGCCCATGCCAAGGGTAGTGAAGGAAACCCTTTGATGGGAGACTTTAATCATCGTTAAGGAACCTACAGATGCCCGACGGCAGTAGCCCGATGGCCTCATGCCGCTTATTAGCGGCGTATCTGGAGATGGGTGGTGTTTACACAGTTCTTGTATGCTACTTCTTTTCTGCCCCGAGAGCCAAGTGCCTGCTTTGTATATCTGTCCAATGTGGCATAACAGATTATTTTTATTGGCGTTTATTATATACTCTCTTGGGGCAATATTGGACTTATGGGTACATATGTATGGTTTTGTTTAAAATTTTTATATATTTTTTTAAAAGCCCTGGCTATCAAATTAGGAACCCACAGGAAATGGGTTTAGTGTCTAAGCTCAAGTGTTTTATGACAAAACCGGCTGATACATCTATGTGGGAGCCTGTGTGTGTTTCTCTCTCACACCCACACCCAGAGGGACTGGAAGCCGCCAAGTTCCTGAGTGGATTAGAACAGGCGTAGGGCTGCGCTGTTATCCAAGATAGCATGGGGAGATGTGCTGGCATGGCTAAAAGTAGCAGTGGACAGGCACACTGGCTTCAGAGCAAGCTGCACAAGATCTGGGTAAGTACTTGCATTGCTAGCTCATGCCACCACATGACCTTGGAAATATTTAGCCATGCAAGTGCAGGTATGTCTAACCCATGGGCTGTGTCTAGACTGCATCCCTTTTCCGGAAAAGGGATGCAAATGAGGCGGGGATTTAAATCCCCCCCCCTTCATTTGCATAAACAGGGCTGCCGCTTTTTTCTGGCTCGGAGCTTTGCGGGGAAAAAAGCGCCAGTCTAGACGGGGATCTTTCGGAAAATAAAGCCTTTTCCAAAAGATCCCTTATCCCTCTTAAAATAAGGGATCTTTTGGAAAAGGCTTTATTTTCCGAAAGATCCCCGTCTAGACTGGCGCTTTTTTCCCCGCAAAGCTCCGAGCCAGAAAAAAGCGGCAGCCCTGTTTATGCAAATGAAGTGGGGGGGATTTAAATCCCCGCTTCATTTGCAATTGCGATGTGTCTAATTTTCATCCCCTTTATGGAAAAGGGATGCAGTCTAGACAGAGCCATGCAGTAATCACGCCTAGAATTGCAGTATAGACATCACCCATGCATGCAGAGAGTCCAGTCCAGCTGTGGTAAAGGAAATTGGTACAGTTGTCTGCAAAGTTTGGAATTGTTGGCATGAGAATCCTAGAACTTCAGACCTTTCAAGTGCCTGGGAAAGAACTGTCACCCCTATCTGAGGAGCATAAAGAGAGCACTTCCTTCAGAGCAGGCTCATTTCTTTTTACGCGCAAGATTTCAAGATGATGAGATTTCCTTTGCACACTCCTGTGTGGCTCCTTTTCCTGCTGGTTATTCCTTTCTAAGAATTTGGGGGTTTTGCTCATTTTTTATATGTATATCTTAGCACTAACAGCACATATACATAGTACTATTTTCAGAAGAAAATTAGGATAACTCAGCAGATCACACATTCCCTGTGACATGAGGCATGAGTTAAGTGGAAATCCAAATAAGGGCATTTTTTTTTCTATTTTGTATATTTTTGTAGTGATGTTTCTATTTAAGGATTCATTAAAGTTCAGTATTTTTTAAATGCAGAGTGGCGGTCTGTGCATTGAATTGTATGCTCTAATTAAACTCAGATACCAGAATCATGGGGTGACATTCTCTTCTCTGTCTTCTGAAGGAGGCCAGATTAGATTAAGCTAATGGCCTTTTGTGCTTTTAAAATCTATTAACCTAAGAGTTCAGATCATCTACTGCAAATTAATCAGCCCTTATAAGGTGCTTTGTAGCAGTAGATTGCCAAGCATTTCACAAAGGAGGTGACGATGATCCCTATTTTACAGATGGGGAAACTGAGGTACTATTGAGGCAGGGACTTGCCTACGGTCACCCTGCAAGCCGATTGTTGAGCCAGGAATAGAATCTAATTTTCTCCAATCATTGTTCGAGACTCTCTCACTTTACCCAAAGCAGGGTAGTCCAGCTGGGCTGAGGCAGGAGGGGGGAGGGGGCTATTTGCACCTCTACCAATCACATTGCTGTGTGCCTCGGTTTCCCCATATGCACAATGGGAATAATGATAGTGACCTTCTTAGGTAAAACAGGGGAAGCCATTACATCCCCAAAAGCAGTCAGATCCTTCCTCTAAAAGGCCAGACACCCCACAGGTGTAAGGAATTATGCCATCAAGGTGCAGGAAGTACATAACCGGCTGTGTTGGGCTCTGCAGGACAATAAAGCATCATGGCGTAGCTGACTCCAGCCCACACTCAAAGGCTATGTCTACACTGGTGCGATCTTGCACCAGAGAAATGCAAATGAGGCTAAGCGTAGAATATCACCGAGCTTCATTTGCCTATCTAATGAGCTGCCATTTTGCGGAAGAGGCTCTTGCGCCAGAAGGAGCTGTCTACACTGCCCCTTCTTGCGCAAAAAAGCACTGAGCAAGAGGGTTTTTCTTGCGCAAGAAGGGGCAGTGTAGACAGCTCCTTCTGGCGCAAGAGCCTCTTCCGCAAAATGGCAGCTCATTAGATAGGCAAATGAAGCTCGGTGATATTCTACGCTTAGCCTCATTTGCATTTCTCTGGTGCAAGATCGCACCAGTGTAGACATAGCCTTTGAGTGTGGGCTGGAGTCAGCTACGCCATGATGCTTTATTGTCCTGCAGAGCCCAACACAGCCGGTTATGTACTTCCTGCACCTTGATGGCATAATTCCTTACACCTGTGGGGTGTCTGGCCTTTTAGAGGAAGGATCTGACTGCTTTTGGGGATGTAATGGCTTCCCCTGTTTTACCTAAGAAGGTCACTATCATTATTCCCATTGTGCATATGGGGAAACCGAGGCACACAGCAATGTGATTGGTAGAGGTGCAAATAGCCCCCTCCCCCCTCCTGCCTCAGCCCAGCTGGACTACCCTGCTTTGGGTAAAGTGAGAGAGTCTCGAACAATGATTGGAGAAAATTAGATTCTATTCCTGGCTCAACAATCGGCTTGCAGGGTGACCGTAGGCAAGTCCCTGCCTCAATAGTACCTCAGTTTCCCCATCTGTAAAATAGGGATCATCGTCACCTCCTTTGTGAAATGCTTGGCAATCTACTGCTACAAAGCACCTTATAAGGGCTGATTAATTTGCAGTAGATGATCTGAACTCTTAGGTTAATAGATTTTAAAAGCACAAAAGGCCATTAGCTTAATCTAATCAGGCTGGGTCTGTGCGTCTCTCTCCCAGAGCCTGGGCCGAGGGGCCAGAGCCGGACTAAGGGGTGGGCGAGCCGGGCAGCTGCTCGGGCGCCAACTGATGGAGGGCGCTTGATGGCAGTTGTACAGGGCGTGTAGCGTCCCTTATAGCTGCCATCAGGCACCGTGCACCCAGCTCCCCCCCACATCGCA